ATTTGATTATTAATTAATTCTAACATTGCACAAGATGCAAAATCAGACAAAAAAAATCTATTTATAAAGATGTGTCACGTAGTACATATAAGCCATCGGATCTTTGGTAAAAACAAGCAAAAATAATGCATCACGTGTTTCATAACACACGCGTGATTATTTTTGCATTGGCATTATTGATGTTTAATAAAATTCTAATAGTAAATAGTGACGCCATTCACGAATAAAAAAAAACAAAAAAACAAAAGGATACACGCGTAATTTCACGAGATAATTCAATTTAACAATTTTTTTTTTTTGCTGCATTATTTATGATCGCCAGTGTATAATCTATAATCTCTATCGCATACAATCATATGCATCTCTATTGTCTTACTCATACAAGCCCTGGCACATATACCTCAATTTATATAAGCTGCAAGTGGTGATCCGCGCGATAATAACCCTAGCGTGACTTCGTCAACGCATATCGCTATACATAGTAATTTTTTTTTAATTTTCATAATATAAGCTATAATATGTGGTGATTAATAATAGTAGGGACATTTCTACGTATACACGTGTCACTGGACCTCGAGTGTAATACAGTAATAGACGTAAGAATGTGTTTTTGAGCACAACAAATATACAATCAATAGATATTTAATGACATCCATTTGAAAATTACAGGTCACAAAATTTTTCAGCCGTTATAATACAGACAAGAAATTGCAGAATCGTTCTAAATTCTTATCAAAATGCGTGAACGATTCTAACCCGATTCTCACCTCTAATACTATGGTCCATGCTGTACTGTAGTCAAATTTTATCTTTTAGAAAATAGACTTATTATATGTAAAATTGGCCCAATGGTATTTCCTGCTCTGTATTCAATAGGCAACTATAGTAATTAAGGTTTCAAATAACAAAAAATAACCAGATAAACTTTATTACATCATCGACCCTGGAGTGTTTTTATTTTATCATGTCCAAGAACTCATGACTAAAGTATGACTTAAGTATGACTAAAGTACCACACATTATCAGATCATATGGGCTGCCGTCAATAGAAATAAGGCAAATTAACATTTTAAAAAAAATTAATCCCTTAACTTTCACAGCTCATAACTCGATGAATTTTAAGGCTATCTTAATGATTTATTATTCAAAAGAAAGCTTACGATCTAAGCTTTCTTTCAAATATTAAATTATCAAAATAGCCTCAAATTTTATCGAGAGATGAGCTGTGAAAGTTAAGGTATTAATTTTTTTTAAAATATCAATTTGCCTTATTTCTATTGATGGCAGCCCATATGTTTTCTATTTTTAATTTTTAAAAAAACATTGTACTACATTCCTAAATCACAGGTCATTAGAAATTGTTACACCATATTGTCACTATGTAATACCACATGCTTTTTCTTGTATCGCAAATAAGAAATTTACAAATGAAAGGATTATAAATATCGACATACATTTGATAAATTACAAAACCATCGAAATTTATCCTTTTATATATTTTATTTTTCGGATAAAAAACATGAACACCGTGAAACCAAATCGGTGTTTTAGCTTTATTATCCGAAGGACATCACAATAATGAACACCTGATGTTTGTGTATGCTTTCACAAATTAAGCATTTTAATTATTAACGAAGAATACTTAAACTCAATCCAGGATTTTAATAACCTTAAAGTCTACATGAATATGCCCTCTAATTCAAATAAAAAAACTTGGTCTGAAGTTGCTGAATTTATTAAACAAGAATCGATTAAAACGTATAAATACAGTTCTTTTAAAAATTTAGAAAGAGTTGGTGAAGGTGGATTTGGGACTGTGCGTCGCGCTTGTCTAAAAAATACCGAAAACGAACAAATAGTAGCTTTAAAAAGTCTTACTAACAATAATGCAGATGAATTCATTAAAGAAGTACGATTTTTTTTTTATTCTATATTATGTATTCGCTTTAAAATGTTATGAATTTAATATCAGATATACTAATTTCACCACATAATTATATTTATTTATTAGATTAAATACTTTAGCGAAGTTGGTAAACACGAAAATATCGTAGAATTCTTTGGAATTGCTAAAGGTATGTTAAATTATAAAACAGATAAATAAACTTTACAATACATCTAATCAGCAAATTTTATAAATTAGATTCTAAAAATGAAACATATCATATGGTCCTTCAATTTGCCAACAATGGAGACCTTCGTTGCTATTTGCATAATAATCCAAAATTAAATTGGTCGATAATAATTAGAATGGCGAAAGAAATCGCTGATGGAATCAATTGCTTACACAGTGCAAATATCGTTCATCGAGATCTTGTAAGATTTTATTATTTAATTCATCTAAATTTCTGTATATTCAATGTAAAGTATCTAATAAATTTAATCATATTAAATAGCATGATAAGAATATATTGGTGCATAATAATAGACTGTTAATCACAGACTTTGGTTTATCCAAAGCATTAGAAAGTAGCTCAAAATCTATTCATGGCGGGATTTGTGCTTTCATGGATCCACAATATCTTGCGAATGAAAATAAATACAAGCGCGAAAAACCTAGTGATATATATAGTCTCGGAATGTTATTCTGGGAACTGTCAAGCGGTGTGCCTCCTTTTAGAGATAAGACTAACCTGGCAATAATGTTGCACGTAACCTCAGGCCAACGAGAAACCCCAATTGATGGAACTCCAATTGACTTTTTAAATATTTACGACAGTGCTTGGGGTGGTGATCCGGATCTACGTCCAAATATTGCCGAAATACGTTGTATGTTAGATAAGATACAAATGGATATAACTAGTTATAACGAACAAGGCAAAAATAAAATGTATCAGTGCGTAGAAAAATCACCACGATTAAATATTTATAGCGCTCGGAAAGCAAGATTTATTAGTCATTTCGCTTTGAATAAAGGTAAAAACGTTGATGGATATGACTTTTGCCAGGGGAAAGGATCTATTATGCGTAATATTGGGGATATAAAAACAAATAAAATACATATGCGTCCTCCAATTATCTATCTTCCTAATAAAAAAGTTTCACCGTGGACGTGTTTGAGAAATTCGAGCTTGTTTACAAATCAAATAGACATAAAAGATTCAAAAGACGACAGTGTACGAATCCATATTCCAATTGTAACTGTGCAATACACATGTAAAGCAGCAAGTGAGTTCATTCAGGATATTAGAAGTGCACTTAATACCTCCGACCCGTCAGAAAATAAAAGGAAATTAGAGATGACATTTAATTATTATGGCAACTACGTAGTTACAAAAGCCACACTTGGTGGTGCCATTACTATTAAAGATTGGTCAAAAATCCCTGATGAAAGTAAATCATATTTAATGTGCTACATTCAGTGGGGAATTGATTATGTTAAAGGGAATGCTTTAAACGTTTTTGAAGATGTAGTACTTGATAAATTACCACGACTTGAGACTTCATCCAATATAAAATCTATTGGAGATCTATATACTTGGTTTAAAATTTTATATGATTGTAAATTTGCAGAAATTTTATCATATGATGAATTTATTCCATCTTATGAACTATTACCAGAAGAGTTGCAAAACCAATTACAAAACGTTATTGGGTTTAAACCCGTTAAAAAACCTCCCAATATATTAGTTCCAAAAATTTCTACTGCATATGATGCACATGATATTAAAGAATGGATAGCATTAGAACCACTACATAATTTACATCTTTGCAATTGGGTTTACAATAATGCATTGCAACATGGTGTAATTTTCCAACGTTCAAAATTAAAACGTGGTCAAAAGGCTGCTTTTAAATTTCTAAAGGAACCTAAAATAACGAAAGTAAATGAGCTTATTGTCATATTATCACAACCAAAGACGGACCAAGAAGCCTACATGTTTGAGAATGGTATAATTTTAAATGAAAGAGATGGATTAGAACTTGATAAAATTCCCTTTACTGAATATAACTCAACTTTTAATGTTCCTCTAGAAGATTTCAGATATTCTAAGCATCAGCACTCTAATGCAATTTATTGTCAAGTTATTTTTAATGCAATCAAGATTTCTTTTGACCAATCAGATATTAAACAATTACAAGAATTTACAGATGCAATAAATTCTGAATTTCGTAGCAAAGAATCATTTAAAAATCTTTGCAGGTTGTTTGGGAATGATTACGGGCATTTATTGCCAAGAACTTTTATGTTAGGTGGAGTTTTATCAAAAAAATATGTATCAAGTAATAATCCCACAAACATTAAAGAACGAAAGTTTATATTCAATGAAAATGATCCTAATGCACTCACAGAAATTGAAGATCATTTAAAAGCATGGAATGTTGAATTTAGAGATGTTGACACTTCAATATTCCTTAACAATAGAGGGGATGCTGTTTGTCGCAACAAAATTGAAGAATGGTGGAAAACTCTTGCTAATGATCCTAACAACTGGGATATTATATCTTTAGGAGATTGGATGTCAATATATCATATCGTTTTTAAGGGGGAAATCTTATTACAAGGTCAAAATTTTGCAATTATTATATTTCCTAAACCAATTGTCAATAACAACTATCATGTCGTTGGAAATGTTGTTAATAAAAATGGAGATTATTGGGACAATGATCCAGAAGCAACGATCATATTTGATCAAATTGATGAAAGTACTTGTAAAGCACGTATCCAAAATAATTCCGGGGCAAGGTAAATTTATAATTGTTCAATTATATTCTATTTAGTATCATTATATTATTATCATCGTTATTTAATTTATCGTGTTTATCAATTAAAAGTTTACACAAAGATTCCAAAATCTGTTGGTATGTGCTTACTGAGCAAAATGGATAGTAGGTCGAGAACAGTGGCGACCAGTACAGTAAGTCTTACGATATTCAACCCTTTTTATTGCATTACATGATATAAACCTTTTAATTTATTAAAAAAAAATAGTTTATTATCATTATTAATACCTAATTTACTTATTATTGTAGTTAATGATTTATTCATACAACTTAGGACGGC